TTTTTTCCAGGAAGAAGAATTCACATTTATTATTGAACAAAAAAATTCCCAAGTCGAACTTAGACGAGAGTGACGTATATCCGGTGTGTCGAACTGTCGCCTTTTTATAGCGTCAACATCGGACTCGCTGACCAATTAGTGCTTACTGAACTGTAGCACTATGCAAATGTCGTGTGGTTTATCGACCTTCTTGGCCCCCGAAATGTTTGGTGAAGAAAATATGGCCCACGGACTATAATAAGTTGGACAGCGCTGATTTAAACTGTTGTAAAAATTTTAGATATAGAGCTATAATTAAATGAGTCAAGGGGGAAATGATAGAGTATATATAATTTTTTTTCTGACTTTACATTTTTATAATTTTCTAAAACCAGTCTAATGAAATGTCTTGCCAAAAACTGCTTTATTATAGTCTATATAAAAACATACACATACATGTTTATAAGTTGATTCCAATAAAGTAGTTTGAAGTTCTTCACATGGATGATTTGGAGTTTGGAATATGAATGTAGAAATGTCTTGGTTGACATAGTTTAAAATATGTGCATAGTTTTTCTAATAAAACATTTTGTGATTTTAAAAACTCATTTTAAGATTAAGTTTATTTTCAACAATAATCAGAAAACTAGGGTCTAGTCATTCATAATATACAATATTTTTATTATTTTTTATCATCCATTGTTATGATTTGTTTCAATCACAAACAGAAAAATATTGAATAAACAGTAAATGCAATCAAGTTTCAATAAAGTTTTTTCTTTGACTTTATCATCAAGGAAAAATTATAAATAGAAATCTATCTAGATATCTTTTATCCAAAAGTAGCTTTTAATATTTCTAGTACTTTCTTGTTTAAGAATTTTTAACTTTTAAGTTACTTCTTTATGTTTGCTGGAGAACAAAATAAAAGTTACAAAATTTTAAAAAATATTGTTTTTTTTTTAAATTGTTTTTGAATACTAATAATCAAGGTGTAATTCTATTATTTGAAAAGAAAGTATAGGTGAATTATGGTGAAATATGAGTATACAAATAAAAACCTTTGCAGTATGCTAAATAAAGAATAAACTTCTAAAAGTGTTTAACACTATTAAATTTTTTAATCATTCTGTTTTGATTCTTGTATTTATTTAGCTGACTTATCAAAAAACATCATAGTGTTATTGCTGCAAAATACTCATTTGGAACATTTAAAGTTTAATATGTTGCATAATTATAACAATCAGAACTAAATAAGGAAAGAATGATTACAAGATATGCAATACTAAGGAAAGTAGAGCAGATATTTCTTATCTTGGATGAGTAAAACACTCACTAATTAATCTAAAAACAAAATATTTAATTGATGATTGAGATAATTCTTAACCATTTCTTAAATATAATTTAAAATTGAAAGGAATTATAAGTTGGCAATAAATTTTATTAAAATAATATATAAAATTCCAATATGTATCTGTTCTTGAAAAAGTGTTCATTAAAAAACTGAGAAAACAATCTGTTGATTTCTCTCCATTAAATCTCTTAATTTAACAATACATTGTCGCATGCATCCCTATGGAGATGACTTAATTTCAAGAATTATTAGTCATAGAAAAATGTTGATGAAATTTTGTTTGTGTTATCAAGATGTTGCAAGTTTTCTGCTATTCATAAAATAAATGTCCATATAATTTGAGTGCTATCATGCTTGCTAATATCACAAATATATGTAGTAATTATATACTTCTGCATTATACTTTTAAAATTTGATAAAAGTTATTATATCTGAAAACACATTTCCTCATTTGTTAGGAATATTTTAAGTAATCTAAGAGAGAAAAATGTGCTGAACTTTGCCAACTAAAGATATTTAATTCTGAGTGTTTTCCTTTATTTGTAGAATGTTTAAACATTTTCAAGTATGATTTTGTAGTTTAATGAATTGTTTGTAAATAATAGATTTTGAAATATTTCATTATTAACTTAATTTTTTTTTCTTTTAAAATGTGTTTTCGGAAGAAAGTTCAGAAAATCATTTAGAAAGAGATCCAATGGAAAATTTGATGGGCAAATCCAGAATTTTTAGTTACTCCAGCGTAATAGAATTTTCTATAGGATGTATTTAATGACTTCAAAAAATCAAACAGCTTAAGCTAAAACTAGAAAATCTTTGTATCTAAACCCTACAGATGAAATTTTTTATTCTGACTTAGCTAAGATAACTCAAAAATCAACATTATTCATTAAGTTGAAATTGAAATACTCAATGAATTGTATAAAATAAATAATGCTTGATTGAAAGATGAAATTCATTTGATGAACTGAATAATTTTAATAATGAACTCTTTATTTCTCAAAAATTACATTTGCTTAAAAAAGTAAAAAGAGAAAAAAATGTATGTTTAGTATATATATATATATAATATAAACATAAATTTGAGTTATGAATGAAAGCATACACTATTTAATATGAAATAATGAAAAAGTAATTGCAAGGAAAGTTTGAAAGAAAAGAAAGTAACAGTACAATAAAAATAAAAGTAAAAACTCACTTCATTCATCAACAGGTCTGTCCTACATCCACCCAAGCATGAATGAAAAGTAGTACATTTGCAATTTTACACTGTACTTAAGAAGTCATTTTAGGTAAAATAAAAATTACTAACAAAATATGGACCCTTGATTTTGAACCGGAGTTGAAATTCTAATCAAATTAACAGGAAACTATAAACTCGGAAAAGTTTAGCAATAGTCAATACTCATGAATAGATGCTAAAAAGTTGACTTACAAATTAAAAGATATATACATATATATTTATATATCCTTTACTGATTATCTTTTTTTCCTTTCTTCATCAACTATTTATATTCATTGCTGGATTTAGATCTATCTGAAATATTCCAAACTTTTTCATACTTTTCTTCCTTCCAATAATATCATTTTACAATTTTATTTTATTTCTCCATTTCCTTATAGAATTGCTTCTTTTTCTTTCTCACTTTTGAATATCATTCTGCCACAAGTTTATCTATCTTTCATTTTTGAATCTGTCAATATGACAGATTCAAAACTGAAAGATGATGATATTTCTTTGTTTCTTTTCTCTTAATATTTAACATTCTTCTNATTTCTTTCTGGTACGAAAGAAAAAGTACAAATTTGCAAATAGATTTTATAATTATTGTAAAATTTATCATGATTTCATCCTTTGTAAATTTTTAAATTTCAATAACATCAACATAATATTGATTAAATAGTTAACATTAGATTTCTGTAAAATTAATTAAGTACATTCAAACAATTAATAAATTGAAGAGTGGATGATTAGGGTGGATCTTTTGGTCTTGGATTTGATTTTTACAACTTGTCAGAATAATTAAATATTTTGTTTCAATGTAAGAATTCAACAAAAATTAATTTTGTTAATTCCTATTTAAATTTATCATTAAATTATATTAGAATTTAAATGATGTATTCTTAAGATTGCATTAACTGAAAAATGTAAGCCTATGCCTTTTAAGCAGTGAGAAATGATAGAATCATTTTATGCAATTGCAAATTACCAAAATTGCCACAAATTTTAAAATAATTACTTAGCCAAAATATTAATGAAGTTCAAAACTCTAGCTTTAAAATTCTCAAATATTAAATTTGTATATTTAGTAAATGTAAAATATTATATTTACTTTTTAAATTTTTATTAAAATAATATATAAAATTCCAATATGTATCTGTTCTTGAAAAAGTGTTCATTAAAAAACTGAGAAAACAATCTGTTGATTTCTCTCCATTAAATCTCTTAATTTAACAATACATTGTCGCATGCATCCCTATGGAGATGACTTAATTTCAANAGTTGTAAATTTTGAATACTTTAATCTCAAAAATCTTTTGAATTAAAAAAAAAAATGTTATTTTCACTGTTAATTTAATCACTTTTTAGCTTCATTTTTGATGATTGTAGGTTTTCTAGGGCTTATTTTCTTTTCAGTGAGTACAGTTTTAGAAGTGACTCCAAAAACTTCAGAAGATAGAAAGAAAATCATCAATTTAAGATGGGTAGTCAACAGTTATGCTTAAAATGGAAGAATCATCATAACAATATTATTAATAATTTTGAACAGCTGCTAAGCACCGAAGCTTTGGTAGATATGACGCTCGCTTGTGAAGGTCAAATTATGAAAGTGCATAAAGTTGTACTTTCTGCTTGTAGTCCATTTTTTCAAAATTTACTTTTGGAGAATCCGTGTCAGCATCCCATTATTATATTAAATGGAATTAAATATACAGACCTCAGAACAATTATTGAATTTATGTATCATGGTGAAGTTAATATTAATCAAGATCAGTTAAATACCCTTCTGCAGACGGCAGAAAGCTTAAAAGTCAACGGTCTGACAGAAATAACGCCAGAAAATGGATCAAACGATGAGCTGGGCATAGCAGAAGTCAATGATGATCTATCTAACCATAGCTATCATTCGGATGCTAAATCTACAGGAAACAGAAAGAAAAAACGAAAATCAACCTGTAATAATTTTCACAATAATTACTCTGACGAACAAATTTCACCTAAAATTGAACCACCTATTTCTCCAGAATTGATCGATGTTACACCAGATATTGTCGTAGAATCAACTTCCATCAACAATAGACCAATGCCAGCTAATTGTGTGCAAAATCAATATCCTACACATTCGGTATGTAATTCCATAACTGCATGTGATAGCATTACAGATTCAACAGCTCGTCCAGTTTCGGCCCTACATTCAATGACTCCTAGTGGATCTATAGAATTACCTTCAAACGTTAACATAAAGATATCAGAACAATGTGCATCCACTGATGATAATTCACCTAATTTAGAGCTTCACAGTTCGACTGGCGAACAAACTGCAAGTCATCAGTCAGTGTTTTCCCAATTGGCTATTTCATCAGTCAGTATAAGTGAAAGCCCACTTCAACCTTCCAATATAATAATGAATACAGATAATCAGCTTACATGTGAATTGCCCGGTCCCAGTAATTATTTGCAGCTTTCCGTGCGGCAGGAGGATCAACAGCTAGTGAGGAAGAAAGAAAAATACATAGCAAATGTATATACATCTCAATCTATAAATATGGAAGATTCTTTAAAAAATCTTTGTTGTCCATATTGTAAAAAAGTCTATTCTCAAAGTTCGAGTTTAAAAAGACATATGGAAATTCATATGCTTGAAAGAAAGACTTATAGATGTTATATTTGTCAGAAAAGATTTTCCTGGAAGAATTATCTTCATTTACATCTTAAAAGAGATCATGGTGTAAATATTCATAGGAATTAAGAGAAATGAATTTGCACATCTCTGATGCAAAAGAAAATGTGAAGAAAGGTAGCTTCCTTATCTTTGTAAATATAATTTAATGCTTGTTACATACAAAAAAAAATGCAAAAATTAAAAAAGTCAAATAAATTGCCATTTTAAAAAGAATTATTTTCTTTATATAAAATATGAATATTTTATATTTTTATATTCTTATGTGANCGCAAAATTTTAACAAAAATAATATAAAAGTATCCAAGACATAGCCAAATATTGTAGTGCCACATCACTAGCGGACATTTGAAATTTGCCGACTAGAATGGTCAGTTAACCGATGTTATGGTTAATCAGGGGCCGGATAATCGATGCTCTACTGTATATAACATTATTTTTATATTTTTCAACTACTATCCTACCCTCTCGTAATAGTTTGTAATGCTGTTGCAAATACCCATTGTCAAAATTATGCAATGCATATCCTCAATCAACCCATTAAAGTTTCACAATTGAAATTTCAGAGCCAGTCTAAGCATGTTTTCAACTTCTGAATGTTAAATGAGCAAAAATCCATCAAAATCTGTTAGAAATCATTTGACTGTTGATAATAGATAAGAAAGAAAATTTAATTTGTTTTATTTGTTGAAACCATGTCTTCTTCTTCTTCTTGTTTCTTCTAATTCTATGTCACGACTTGGTGCATTTATCGACACATGGCAAATAATTTCATCATCCACTTTTAATTCATACAGATACGTGTTTTGGGCTTTCACCCCTCTTCAGTCTGTTACATTGATAGGTTGCAACCTATCGATGTAACAGAAACGCGTATCTGTATGAATTAAAAGTGGATGATGAAATTATTTGCCATGTGTCGATAAAACACCAAGTCGTGACATAGAATTAGAAGAAACAACAAAATTTAATTTATTAATTTAGCATTTTTATAATGTAAATTACAAATAATTTGTTTTAATAATTTTTTATACTTTTGTGTTAATTTTTGGCAAATTATGAAATGAAAGTTACAGCCAAATAAATTCAAGAAGTCACCATTTGTCAAAGAAAAAAAACTACTTGTAGTTTAATTCCTACATATAGTGATTTAAAGACACTAGAATTACATAATGTTGTTGTAAAGACTTTCACCCTTATAAATGCATTATAACAATTATCTACCATCATAACCATCCATATATGCATTACATAATATGGATAGCCCCTTTTGTATGCTTAATTGGATGTGGAAAAAATTACATTAGGACACAAACAAGATTTTATGTCATTGCACATGAGACTTTGGGCTACTTTAAACATTGATTTTAGAATTTTCTTACATAGTTATATGCAACATTGCTTGCAACAAACAGCAAGTTCTGAGAAGTGTTATCAACACGTGTGGTACTGAAAGTCTTCAATAAATTTTAGCATGCTATCTGTAGACTGTAGACCCGTGTGGTTTTGTTTGTAGAAATTGTATTGACAAAATATATTTTTTTTTTTATATAACAAAATGGATAAAGCAGGCTACATTAGACAAATATATAAATAAATAGATACTATATAAGTCTTCATTGTAACATAGTGGAACATTGTTAAATAAATATGAATTATTGAAGAAAGCTATATCATTTGCATTTCTATTTGAGAAATTTTTTAAGTTGGTCCCTTAGAAAAACTTCTTAACTAAGTTATACTGTATTTGGCTTACATTATGAATGTGATCAATTGTTGAATATTTAGATTTAAATTCTGGATTTTTATATGGTTTAATCTTGTTAAACTATAAGTTTTTGTCTATAAGAAGCCTTTACCTCCACCAAATAATAGCAAATTTTAATACAACTTCTTAATGTCTTGTAACAAACAAGTAAAAACTAAAGCTAAAGTTTCATTTTTTACTTGTTTGTTACAAGATTTTGAGAAGGTTTCTAACAAAAAATTAAGAATAAAACAATATATATTCTAAATCAGTGTTTCTCAACCTCTAACGAATCATCGCCCCCTTCAACGTAGTATCGCCCCCTTCAATAAAACCGTTACGTAGTATCGCCCCCTTCACTTCAAAATTCCGATGCCAAGAGCTAAGGCTAATGCCAAATTCGAACTGCATTGAATAAATTAGTGACTAGTATAATGTTATTTGTTTAATTATTGTATGATATAACGAATAAAATATCTAATTATTCTTAATATAATGTTNAGCCTTACAAATTGTGTATAGAATGTTGCCAATTTCAAAATATACTCACCTCAACTGTTTTGATAGTTTAAAAAATTATTTAATTTTTAAAAATGTAGTTATATAAGTGTTTGTAACTGATGATTCATGCCTTACTAAAATATTATTGGGTCAATTGAATACCCTGAATAGTTTAATTTATCAAAAAATATGATTTAAAATATTTTATTAATATATGTAAAAATTACACAAGTATATCAATTTTTTCGTTAGATCAAAGAGTTTTTTCAATGACAAATATGATAAAAATTGTTTTATAAAATATTAAATATGTGAAAGAGTAAAAAGTGAATTATTAAATAAAAGTGTTTTTTCATAAAGAATCTTCTATGCATTTTCTTAATGATCAAATGTAAATATTTAGAAGGAAAAGGTTTGAACATTTTCGAAAGCTTCAAATATTTAAATATATTTATTGAAATTTAAATAAAAATTGGAATTATTTATCAATAAATATGAATCTCGATTAGTTTAATTATTCATAAAATATAATTTAAAAGAAAAATATTTATATATATTATTATTAGAGCTGGCATTTTAAATAGAATAAGTATATTTAAGAGGAAAATCATCTGCATGAAATTAATTTTTAAAGTAAAATATTTAGATCTGCTTAGTTTTAAAATTTAATATAAACAGATACTGGAATTCTATATTTATTTAATTTTACATATATTTACGAAGTATTTTTTTTTCTTAAAAACAAAATTAAATCCGTTAGAAAATAATTTTATTATTATTATAACGTAAAAAAAGTATCAAAACTTCTTGTTTTATAAGAAAATAAAATTTAAAACAAAAAACGATATAATTGAATATAAAATGAAAAAAAAAATGGTTTTTATATTAGATTCCATTTTAATTTTTCATACAAATTCCAATTTCTGTTTATTTAAAAATATAAAAAAATGTAAAATAAAATATAAAAAGAAATTATGGTTTAAGAAAAATAAAGGTAAATGAAAGAGAATTTATTAGAAATTCTGATGAAATTACTCGTATTAAATTAAAAATATATCAAGCATATTTGAAATATAATTTCTATATTTGGTTCAAGTAATGCTTCATTTGACAATAGCTGGGTTTTCTAGGGCTTCTTTTTCTTGATTACAGTTGTACAAGGGCAAAAAGCATCACTGAAGAGAAGCTAAGTATAGAGACAACATAATGGGTAGCCATCAGTTATGTTTGAAGTGGAAAGACCACCAAACAAATATGTTGACCGGATTCGAAGAACTTCTCACTTCGGAAGCGTTAGTCGATGTAACTTTAGCGTGCGAAGGACAGAGTTTGAGGGTCCACAAAGTGATTCTTTCGGCATTCAGTCCGTTCTTTCAGAAGTTACTCTTAGAAAATCCTTGCAAACATCCTATCGTTATCTTAAACGGCATCAAATATACGGAACTCAGGACAATCGTAGATTTTATGTATCGCGGAGAAGTAAACGTTAATCAAGACCAGTTGACCGCCCTGCTACAAACTGCCGAAAGTTTAAAGGTCAAAGGGTTGACGGTGGAGAGTGGGCAGACGGGTGGTAAAGATTCCATAAGTTCTCTACAAGAATCCCATCCCGTCGATCAGAACGTAAATTCTACTTCTATTTCGTCGACGGACGAACAGAAAAGAAATTATCCTCATTTGAAAAGAAAGCGACACAGTCGCGTACACCACAAAGTACACATTGCTGCCAGTTCGACGGGTAGTGAGAGCGAAGATCAAATATCCAACGTGGAATTGTCGTCGGTAGAACTCGCTTACGTCACTCCGGATGTCACCACCGATTCGAATACCGTATATCCTACTATAGTGTCGACTCACAGTCAAGCGGATTTTATCTCCCATTCCTTATTTAACGCTAACATGAACGAAAGTAACGAAGTCAATACGCAGAATAATTTCGTAGCCTCCACGAAATCCGCTGTCAACGACGAATCCTCCAACTGTATACTCGAGACGAAGTCGGAAGACGAGAAAGAAATGGAAACGAAATGCAATCAGAATTTTGGGAATCTAGAAAATAATTCACCCCTACTATCACAGTTATTAGTTCAGACTCATCCGTCTGCAGGGGAAAAATCCAACGTCAGTTATTCCGAACATAACAATTGCGAGAAGCATTATGTGGCAAACAACGTGTCCTGTTCCGAAAATAGCCCGTGTAATGAACAATTAACGTCTGTCGAAACGAATAATGCAGAAACTAATGAAATCAAACCTCTAACATTCAGATCTCCATATAATAGTGGAAGAAAAGTGGCATTCGAAGAGTCGTCTGTCCATCCACGATGCCCCTACTGTAGGAAAATCTATTCGAGATTATCGAATTTGAAGAGGCACATGGAAATACACATGCTAGATAGAAAAACATACAAATGTTACATATGTCAGAAGAGATTCTCTTGGAAAACTACTCTAAGTTCGCATCTTAGAAGAGATCATTATGTTAAAGTAAGAACTAGTTGGTCTCATCAGGAATAATGATGGGGGAATTTTTTTTCTTTTCATTTTTTTTTTTTTTGTGTATATATATACAGTATATAAAAAAAAAGAAATATCTGTGGGCTGTTTTTCTCTAATATTAGTATTATCAGGATTTAATAGGATCAAATATATTTATGCAAACTGAAGTAAATTAAGCTTTAACAGTGATATATAAAAAAAAACAGGAGGAGAATAATTACAGTATTGGTACATTTATAAGTATGGTTTACCGAGAAAATTCTGAAAAAAAATGTTTGGTCTTCCTTTTCCTATGCAGTTATTGAATTTATAATCATATAATTATCATCATTAAATAAGAAGATCATGTAAAAAAATACTAGTTGCTTCCATAGATGAACAGAGCTTGCTCTACCAGAAAGAACATATTATATATAATTGGTTGTATATGGTAAACTTTATAATTTTTAAGATATTTTTATTATTATTCACAAATTTCTTACGAACATTAATTGCAGCTAATTGTATATTATTTAAATCCTTTTTTATATGGAAATTTTACTTTCATCATAAAATTTTTATTGCATTACTATTATTATTATTATTATTATATGAAGAAACACTTATTTGTAGAAAGAAATCTGTATTAGAATCACGTCTTGCAAAATTAGTGCCGTTGAAGACCTTAAATTTCTTTGGTTATTGTACGTTGCAAAAAGTGCAAAGAAAATACAAGGCTTTGTTAAGATTTCTGAAATTAAATTACATTCCTTCCCCTTTAAAAAAAAGGAATTAAATTTATCCTGTTATCTTAATTACCATAAGTTGCTCGGTAAAAGGATTCTATCTCTTATTTTTATTTGAATCCTGAATAATAAAATTTTGGGGTGAACTGCTGCATGGGACCGAAGACAAAGTAATAGATAGCTTGTGCGAAGATAAATAAATGCCATCGGGGAAAGTGGCATTGGACTTCCTGATGTTGGAATTTAGGAATTTTCCTACTACCCTAACTGGAGTCGTTGCTTTTACACACAGATAAATGCCTTCTTGTGTAGTAGTTGTACTACTACTACATACACTCCCGATATAGTGATATGGAGCAAAACTCGTGGCTGAGATTGTTGATAACCTACTTCGAGTAATTCATTCATTCTCTGAATTCTTTCACTCCCGCAATGAATCTACATTACTAAGTTTTTGTGAAGAATAAATTGTTTGTGTCGAGTGTTGAAGTGCTTGGTTAAGAACATGTTATTAATTTAGGAGTTAAGTTGTTTCAGTAATTTGTGTTTCGTGCTTCATTTCGTTTTTTTTTTCNTTACAAACAACATCTTAACTCTTTAAAAAATCAAATATAAAAAGATGAATTTATTAATAAAATATTTAATTTTGGTTTAAACTATAACAATATCAAATTAAGAAATTGATACTTACTAATGTATTTTCATCTATATGAAATTATTCATTTTAACATTATAAAATGTAAAATATAATAAACTGTAAAAAAGGTAAATTTTTATAATTTATATTGTATTGTGTTTAATTTTAAGAAGTATTACATTTATGAAAGATCATATACAATTAAATGGTTACATGAAGCAGAGAAAAGTATAATTTATGTAGCTAATAATATGATAATTAATTTGCTAACAGTAATTTTTAAATATGGTAAGATTATTTTGATTTAAATATAATTAAATATTATAAGTAAGTTATATATATTTTATTGATATAAAATGTAAAATTAATTCTTGTTTTATCGAATTATAATTAGTCATTTATTTATTATCCAACCATTAGATTCCCAATAGTCTTTTCTAAATGATTGCATCCCAGTTTTGAATAATACAAATAGTAGATATTATATGTTAATTTTGAAGCCTTACAACAATTTTGATTGTCAAATAATATATCATTCTGGCCAATACTCATTTAACTGTACATTAAAAGTACTGTTGTCAATAGTTCATTGTTATCATTTATATAAAGTAGCATTATTTTCTTGTTAAAGATTACATTCATCAATACATTTATATATTTTATTTTTGTATATTGCTTTATCTGTAAGAATGAGTTTCAAGCTTCTGATGGTTTAATAATGAGTAAATGACTGTGTCTTAAAATTAATTAGATAGTCTTTAAGTAGATGTTCTTTAGACCAATGCCAGCTAATTGTGTGCAAAATCAATATCCTACACATTCGGTATGTAATTCCATAACTGCATGTGATAGCATTACAGATTCAACAGCTCATCCAGTTTCGGCCCTACATTCAATGACTCCTAGTGGATCTATAGAATTACCTTCAAACGTTAACATAAAGATATCAGAACAATGTGCATCCACTGATGATAATTCACCTAATTTAGAGCTTCACAGTTCGACTGGCGAACAAACTGCAAGTCATCAGTCAGTGTTTTCCCAATTGGCTATTTCATCAGTCAGTATAAGTGAAAGCCCACTTCAACCTTCCAATATAATAATGAATACAGATAATCAGCTTACATGTGAATTGCCCGGTCCCAGTAATTATTTGCAGCTTTCCGTGCGGCAGGAGGATCAACAGCTAGTGAGGAAGAAAGAAAAATACATAGCAAATGTATATACATCTCAATCTATAAATATGGAAGATTCTTTAAAAAATCTTTGTTGTCCATATTGTAAAAAAGTCTATTCTCAAAGTTCGAGTTTAAAAAGACATATGGAAATTCATATGCTTGAAAGAAAGACTTATAGATGTTATATTTGTCAGAAAAGATTTTCCTGGAAGAATTATCTTCATTTACATCTTAAAAGAGATCATGGTGTAAATATTCATAGGAATTAAGAGAAATGAATTTGCACATCTCTGATGCAAAAGAAAATGTGAAGAAAGGTAGCTTCCTTATCTTTGTAAATATAATTTAATGCTTGTTACATACAAAAAAAAATGCAAAAATTAAAAAAGTCAAATAAATTGCCATTTTAAAAAGAATTATTTTCTTTATATAAAATATGAATATTTTATATTTTTATATTCTTATGTGATTATATATATTTAATTACATTCAATTTTCTTTTAAATAAAACCAACAAAATGAATTCTAATTATGTACTTAATTTAAATAGTTTAGAAATTTTAATTAAAATTTGTTAAAATTTTATTCTTTAGTAATAATTAGGAAATAATTATTTTGTACAATAATTTAAAATATATATAATTTTATAATTATTGTCCACAGTCTTTTTATTTTTATTTTTTTACAATAATTACTTTCATATGTAGAATATGCTGTACTTAATAAGAATGCACAGACATGTATTTAAACACATTTACATATAAATTTTAATTAAAAAAGCATATAAAAATTGTAATTGAAAAAAGTAAATTCTGGTTTTTATTGTTATCCTATCTTTAATTATAAACTAAATTAATATTTTTGTCTGCTGTTTTATATGTATAGTAAGTTCCTATATTTAATATATATAGTGATTTTTTTTAAGCAAATATAATAATTTGATATAAGAAATATTGCATTAATTGCTCTTGTCTTTTATCATTATATATCATCAACAGTTAAAAATTATTGACTTTTTGTTTTTGATTGACTCATTGTCTACTTTTTTGCTTCAAATTTCACTAAATTTATGTAGTTAAATTAATTAAATTTAAATATAAAACATTGTAAGGGGAAAAGTATAGAAATATATTATTATTATGTTTTTTGAGTACAAATATAATGAAGGTTTTTAACACATTAATAATTTTCTTTTGGTTCATTAAAATTGTAAATAAAAAAAAAGTATTTAGATGTACAGAAATATAGGGTTGCAGAGATGAAGCAGAAAGTAGAAATTACCTGGACCCAAAAAGATTAATAAGATTTATAATTTAACAAATTTTAATTATAGCTTGAACTTTGTTACCTAAAATCCCAAAATTGTTTTTTGTAATAAAGTCATAGGGAAAGAGATGAGGGAGAATGTGAAACTGTGAATCTGTCTCTCAGCAGCTCTGCAGAAATATTAAAAATAAATTTGCTTATAAGTTTATTACAAACAACATCTTAACTCTTTAAAAAATCAAATATAAAAAGATGAATTTATTAATAAAATATTTAATTTTGGTTTAAACTATAACAATATCAAATTAAGAAATTGATACTTACTAATGTATTTTCATCTATATGAAATTATTCATTTTAACATTATAAAATGTAAAATATAATAAACTGTAAAAAAGGTAAATTTTTATAATTTATATTGTATTGTGTTTAATTTTAAGAAGTATTACATTTATGAAAGATCATATACAATTAAATGGTTACATGAAGCAGAGAAAAGTATAATTTATGTAGCTAATAATATGATAATTAATTTGCTAACAGTAATTTTTAAATATGGTAAGATTATTTTGATTTAAATATAATTAAATATTATAAGTAAGTTATATATATTTTATTGATATAAAATGTAAAATTAATTCTTGTTTTATCGAATTATAATTAGTCATTTATTTATTATCCAACCATTAGATTCCCAATAGTCTTTTCTAAATGATTGCATCCCAGTTTTGAATAATACAAATAGTAGATATTATATGTTAATTTTGAAGCCTTACAACAATTTTGATTGTCAAATAATATATCATTCTGGCCAATACTCATTTAACTGTACATTAAAAGTACTGTTGTCAATAGTTCATTGTTATCATTTATATAAAGTAGCATTATTTTCTTGTTAAAGATTACATTCATCAATACATTTATATATTTTATTTTTGTATATTGCTTTATCTGTAAGAATGAGTTTCAAGCTTCTGATGGTTTAATAATGAGTAAATGACTGTGTCTTAAAATTAATTAGATAGTCTTTAAGTAGATGTTCTTTAATAATGCAAGATCAAATGAAAGTTCTTAGATATAGAGAAATTTAAATAATAATCTAATAAATTTTCATAATTCTTTGAAATATATTGGCAACATATTTTGAACTGAAATTGGTAGATTTCTGAATTTAAAATATTCATTTTTAAATATTGTACAATATAAATTTTACATTTACAGTTTATAAAATGATAAAATATACAGTTTTTTGACACTGTTTAAGTAATTTTTATGATTCCAAATAGTTACTTCAAAATATATAAATGTATTTTTGTTTTAGAATTAGGTAATTTTAAAACCACATATTTTATTAGATTAGTAAATTAACAAAATAAGAATAGCAAAAATTTTACAATTAAACTTCATTATATATCTTGTATGTTTAAAATATATTTTAAACATATACTTTTAACATACTATTGAGAAGATATCATTAGATGTCTAAGTCAACCAAAAACTTATTTTATCATTTAAACCAGCGCTGTCCAACTGGCGGCCCGCGGGCCGTATACGGCCCGCCAAATAATTTTTACGGCCTGCGAGTACATTTTACTATGAATAAATTTATGTTACTAAATTATTATTATTAATATTAAAATTATTTTACTACCGTGTTTACCCAAAAATAAGACAGTGCCTTATATTAATTTTTGCTCTGAAAAATGCGCTAGGTCTTATTTT